CCCTCTCCTCCCTCTCTCTCTATCTCTGTCTCTCTCCTCCCTCTCTCTCTATCTCTGTCTCTCTCTCCCTCTCTCTCTATCTCTGTCTCTCTCTCTCTCCTCCCTCTCTCTCTATCTCTGTCTCTCTCCTCCCTCTCTCTCTATCTCTGTCTCTCTGTCTCTCTCTCTCTATCTCTGTCTCTCTCTCTCTGTGTCTCTCTGTCTCTCTCTCTCTCTCTCTCCTAACAACCTTGACGTTGAGCTGAAACAGGAAGTGTAGCTTATTACATGACTGAGGCTGAAACAGCTGCCATTCAAATGATCCTTCAACCTTCACTGTAAACTCTGGCAGCAATTGTTACAAATACTATTTATTTATCTTTTTGATTGACTAAATATGGGTTGAGCACCATACAAGTGCAGCTCACAGTCTAATATTTATCATAACAGTTTTGGGAGGAACACATTTAATGGGGGAGTTGGCACATTTTTTAACATTGTGATGACTGGGAAAATGATCCTGAATTAACCCTATAATTAGAGTCTCATAGCAAGTCACCTTTGTGAAAAAGAAGTATGCCTAACTGTATTAAATGTGCACTTGTAGTGTACTTAAAATCTTAAATATATTTAAAAAACTGTATTTGCAAATAACAAAAAAGTTATTTGATATACTATTTAAAATGAATATATTTTAAATGTACTAAATAACTTCACAAATGTATATAATTACAAAATTAATACATTTGTCAGTATATTTGTCAGTACATTTGAACCATATTTCAAAGACAATAGAAATAATTATGAAAATACATATAGACATGTACTTAAGTCCTACTTAAGTGGGACAGAAAGCACTGTAAAGATCAGCTAATTGCATTTAATCTAAATTTAAAATATAAAACATTTTTACTTAATTGCAACCAACATACAATTAACATCTGAAGTCATTACATTAAGTTTGTATTTAATCAATATCAATAATTGGGTCTGTGGGAGGTAAATGAATGAAAATGAAATGCATTAAATTTTTTTTATTTTTATTTTTAATTTTCTCACTAAACCTGCATATTTAGTTCATATACTGTCATAGATCTCATCCAAAATCTTTTGTTGCTTTCATTACAAAACTAACTGTTCACATAAGTGTCTTTTAAACAAATATTTAATTATTTATTGTAGTTACAATAAAAAGTACATTGATTACAGTGGGTCTAAACTGGCCCGGTCATTCACCACCTGTTACTCAAGTCATGTGCAAGCGAGGCTTTTAAAGATCTTTCTTTCTGAATGGATTTCATGTCCTTTAAACACTGCGCTCCTATGAAGCTGACTGTCACTCTGTTATGACAAAAGACAAAAATCACTATAAAATGTGCATGCTTAATGAGATCCTGAAAGCCTTTACTGTCACACAATGGGAACCTACACACATGCGAAGCACAATCATATATTATTTAGAAACTCTGAGAAACAACTGGCATTTGAAAAAGGGGATTACAAGGGAAAAAATAAAGTTTGTTTGTCCATTCTGACTTGGTATGAGAGCCATTGTTACACTGGAACTGCTCTGATCACTGATTTGGGCTCCATTACTCCTGAGGATTACTAATAAGTGTAATCATTAATTTGGAGGATAACATTTCATTCATGTATTGCACCCATTGCAAAAATGACTAAAATCTTGACTATATTTCTGCACTATTCTTAGTCTGAACGTAGGAAGTCATGTACACCTAGGATGGCTTGAGGGTGAGTAAATCATGGGCTAATATTCATTTTTGGGTGAACTATCCCTTTAATTGCATGTTATTTACAAGTACATGTATTATAGTTTAAATGTATATTAAATGCAATTAGCTGAACTTTAGAGTGCTTTTAACCCACTTAAGAAGGACTTAAGTACATCTTTATATGTAATTTAATATTTACTTCGATTGACTTTGAAATATGGTTAAAGTGTTACTGCTGAATGACAAGCATTTATAATAAACTAAAATATACTTTAATGACATTTATATTGAAATTGGTATGTCGTGTATTTAAATATATTTGTAATTACACATTTGTAAAGATGAAGTTGTAATTTAGTACATTTAAAATATATTAACTTTAAATATAATATTGAATAACACACCACAGTCAAAATTATAATCAGGTACTAAAAGCTATCGTATGACATAGGAAGACATGGAACTAAGTTGTATGATATTTTAATGGTGTTTTTGAAGCCATGAAGAACATTTTTAGATGTTTCTCTTTTCAAGGTTTTATGCACTGCAAGCTGTTAATTTCTCTGACACTGATGTGTTCTGGCTGTGAACTTGTTCTTAACTTCATCTCTGCCAAGAGTCCAGCTCCATGGTCACTTGTTAAGATCGGCTCCTCCAAGGCCTCGCAGCGAGAGTTGTCAGCATTTATAATACCCTTGAACAGCGTGGAGTATAAATCAGTCATAGCCCACAGTGTGTGGAGTACGTAAGCACACAAAGAATGTTGAGGCTAGAGAAAAAAACAACCCCGAATAAACCTAAAACAGTCCGGTGTGAGACACAGCGGAATTAGCACATTTTATGAGCAACTTTGTAGTGTAAGTTTTACAATGCCATACTGTAAAAATATCCTGTCATTTTTTACAGACAAAAAACCCCCAAAAAACTGGCTGCTGTGTAAACATATTTACAAAAACGCCATTTAAACACTAAAATAATGCAATGAACATTCATTTAACAACATAAGACGTAACACAAAACCTTAATGCACATGTCTGATAACAAATAATTAAGAAACAGTTATTTAAATGAACAACCATCAAATGTAGGGCCGTCACACAGGGAATTCTGGGAATGTCAGTTTACAGTTTTTCCACTGTAAATGGTAAGATTACTTGTTATTTTTCACTGCCAATATAGCTGTAAATATAACAGTATTTTACTGTAAAATTGCATTAAACCTAAGTTAGATCAATTACAGTTTTCACCATATATATTAAAGGGTTAGTTCACCCAAAAATGAAAATTAGGCTACGTTTTACACCCCCCCGAGGCATGTAAAACGCAGCCTAATTTTCATTTTTGGGTGAACGAACCCTTTAAGGAAACCCACCATTAAGCAGGGTTTTACTGTAGCATCTACAGTTAAAATTACAAAAAAAAATATTTTCTTTTAATATTGTAATGAACTGGACAGGAACATTAGGCATCTGTCAAACGGACAGTAGTTCTCGATGACTTCAGTGCAGAAAAGGCAACTCATCTGGACTGAGTCATGACTTCATATAGAATATTCCTTTTAATCTTCCAATTTCACTTAATTTTCTTTGCTGTGTTTAAAATGAACAAAAATCAGCGTATTCTGTACTTAGTAAAATTCCTGTTTGCTCCTCTTTCTGCCAAATGATTTGTCATGGATTGTATTTGGTGTCCATCATCGTAAGAAGGTAATTTTTTTGTGAGGACATTGTCCGTTAAATTTAAGCACATTTCCTTTAATGCCAAAACACAACACAACGAAATGTGTAATTCTAAATATGGCAAAAACAGCTGTGAAAAATCAATATGGAAAATTCCTTCATATTACCACAGTACATCAGCCCGGGACTTTTCTTAGTGCTGTATTTTGCAAAAATGCACAAAGCAGTTTATAGACCATTTTATAAACAACTTTCTATAAAACATTTTATTTGAACAGATATATAATGTTATAATTAGTGTCATTCCACAACTAGGCCCTAAAAGTAAGTGAACACAAATTCTGTGTAACCTTATTTTACAAGATCAGAAACGTACAGCAAACATACAATAATGCTACTGAACATATCATTATTTACAGCATCAGAGATTTACAGTACAATAATAGCAGGTGCATAGCAGAAGAGGATCTCTGTCCAGAAATGGATTATATAAACCAGCATTTATAAGGTGATGAATAATCACAGAAGTGGATTTTGAGTGTCAAATGGATTTTGCATAGATAATCAGTCACTGCCAGACATTATTATTTTTTGCCGACAATAAGACAATCATTACAATCCATTTGACTTCATACAGTAGCACTGCTCAATGTCTAAACACTGACCACCTCAATATGCAAATATATGTACCATATTTTTGGCCATAGTACTTTTTCATCTATTATTTTTGGCCAAATGTTTTATTATTAATGCATTCATTTGATGATTCTCAGATGGAACAGAGTAAAGCAAAGCGAAAAGTACGCCTGCTAAGAAAAAAACTCAAATGCTGCAATCCCCAAACCTCAAAACCCATTTCAACTCAAAATTAAGAGAACCGAACTGCATATGCACAAAATTAAAAGACACACATATTTGATATGTAATTTGAATCAAATGCTATATCCATAACACTTGGTACAATGGTATAAGAATTCAACCCACGACATTCACAAATAGGTTTAAGGCAAAAAATGATTACAGCAGACTTTGCCCTGAGCAGGACACTGTAAAAAAGCAGGTCATATCAGTGTGGTTTTGTTTGGCTCAAATAAAAGTCAAAAATCACAGCTGGCATTGATAAAGGAGCATTTGTGATGAGTATTAATTCAGCTAATCTCATTGAGACCTACACTTTCATATCCTCAAAGGAAGTTATTACAACCGGTGCCATGATTGTTCAAAATCAAATTAGACAGTTTTTATGGAAAAAACAAAACAAAACATAAAAAATACTCTACAGCTGTCTATATACTGGAAATTACACTAATATACATTTTACAGACACTGAGGTGTAAATTTAGATAGACATACAGTAAACACAATGCTAAAATGCTAAAGAACATCCCTAAACAGACTCAAAGCTCGAGAACAATCAAGTATTTAAAGACCTCATGAAATGACTCTTCTTTTCTTTTCTATGTCGACGTCCAAGTCATGCTGGATTCCCTTAAAGGGGTCATATGATGCGATTTAAATTTTTCCTTTCTCTTTGGAGTGTTACAAGCTCTTGGTGCATAAAGAAGATCTGTAAAGTTGCAAAGACTAAAGTCTCAAATCCAAAGAGATATTCTTTATAAAAGTTAAGAGTCAGCCACACCTACCTAAAACGCCTCGTTC